AGAAACGGTAGCTGCTGGACAACTTGCTCTTCACTACATGCATATCGTAAAGAAGCTCCTCATGGATGTTGTCTTCTGCTATGCATAGGCTCATTGACTTAATGCCAATGAGCATCACCGGCATGATCATGGGCATTTCTTCATGCTTGAATCAGTCTTCCCTGATCGTACACTCTGGTGCCAATCCGGGTCATCCATACTTAGGACCTAACGGATCCAGCAAAGGTATCTTCATAGGGATCCTGCTCCCGTCTTGGCATAGCTTCGACAGCCCAACGTGGGAGAGGCAATTGCTTCAACCCAACTTGCGGCACACCTCGAGGGCTCTAAGGTCCATTGATTTCTTCGCCATCGCTCTGCTGATACCCGGATACATGTGTATGCCTTCGGAACCACGAGCAACAAATTCGTGTGGAGGCGGAAGAAAACAACTGTGGAGCAAGCACTGTTGGTTTTGCACACTAGAAATCTCGACAGCACTAACGCCACGATGGGCTGTGCAAGACTGGTGGCTAAGCAGTGTGACAATTCAGCAGTTCTTCTCTCCTCTCAGCGCCCCTTTTACCCGAAAACCGTGCGGAGTCTTTTCCATGCTAACCCTAATATGAATCTGCGGCCTGGGGCCGGAAAAGATATTTTATGCCTGTTCGCGCCAGGAAACGGTGACTATTTCCATTACAGTGTTTGGACCTCAACAAAACCACTCATTGTCCGCCGAGACTTTGCAAATGCGAAAAACTGTGATGTCTGCTGCCATTTGCAAAGTGCTCAATTACAGCAGGGCTCAAGCCCAAGCTGGTAGTCAGCCGTTGAGCGCGCTGCATGAGAATTCATTCTCTCGCCCAATGTGAGCCTCTCAGTACAGGAATTTAAAAGTATCCAGGGCAATCTGGTAGTCATCGCCTCAGGATCCAATTCTCCAAGGCCGTCTGCAAGCCTCCGTAAGACTCGAGTACTTCATTGCATGGTACGTCAATGGTCACTGGATTGGCAAGTTCTTCAACCCTCAAAATCTGCTCTTTGGAATTGACCTACTCTTGTCACTGTCCAATGCATTCCTGCCAATATGATGGGATTGTGCGAAGGAAGGGCCTGCATAGTTTCCTTGTAAAGCCACCTTTTCCCGAATGGCTTTATCAAACCGAATAATCCTATTCTCACCCAATCCGTGCTGGGATTTTGACCACTGAGTGCTGTGCTAACTTGTGTTCAAAGATGTTCAAAGCATGGGGGGGCTTCCAAAGCAGTCGGGATGGTGCAGTCGTCGCCTTCAATGGCGATGAGGCATGTTTCGTCAACAACCCTTCCACTAGCGACGTTCACGTCCCGGGTTCATGTGGTTGTCGAAGTTTTGCAAATAAGAATTGCTCTCCCAGTTCATTGTTTGTTGCGGAATCTATGTCTCGAGACAACTCAATATGACCGGTTTTCAAAACGCACATGAGAACTTAATTGCACATCAACACTTGCAACTGTGAGTGAATCCAACATATGAAACAGAAACCACTACAAAAAAAGAAGCCCAATTCGGAAGGGACACCGTCTCGCTCAGGAGCGTGCTTCGATTTCATCGCGGGGACTTCAACTAGACCCTTCCAACAGCATGCCCCTTTGAAGCAGTCTGAGCTTCTGCCATGCAGAAGCTTGACGAGAACATGGGCCATGCGGGCATGGGCCCCGCGGATCTCGATCCCTGAATTTGCCGAGCACCCGGCCACGGAGTTCCCACCTCCGAGTCTCCGAGTCCGGTTCTAGATCCTTTTTGGATTCCGGAGATTTAGGGAACCCACCAAGCCCCTCGGTTTTTGCGAGGACCCCCCTTTCGGAAAACCAATGCTGCCTTTTTCGGAGAGCAAACCTCGTGTCAGCGTCTAGGCACCCCAAGGGATCGAGCAGTCAAACGTGCGCAGGACATAGGCGATGGTTTCCCCATTGCCTGTACAGGGATGGATCTTGACATGCGTAGATTCTGATCACTTCCAATACATCCAACATGTTCGACGAGTGTCAAATTCGGATAAATTTGGAAAGCTACGTAAACATCCACACACGCATTGTTCACGCGCCTGGGCGCTTAAGCGCCTAAGGGCACACTCTTCAGCTTATGGAACACAATTTGGGCGAATCTCTTGGACATTGCCTTCATTTGTGCCTACTGGCCCCTTTGCGGAGCAAAGCGGCGGCCTTCTTTCCTCTGAGGCGATGGACAGCACGAACTGCTTCTTCCGGGTGATAGCAATCAAGGCCTGCGCGTGCGGTGAGGGCACCGGTTCTCACCAAGCCGCAAAATTCGGGTAGAAACATTTTGACTCACAATGCATCCGTTTGCCCTCACAAATCCACGCTTTATAAGTTGGGGGCTCACAACATATCCACTTGGCACAGGCCGGCTTGCTCTGAATGCCACTAGCCAAAAGCCATCACCCGAAATCTGAGACTCAATGCATCCCAAGTTGAAGCTTCAGCATGCCGAAGCTTGAATCCAGCATATGAGATTCACACTGCTACCCATTCATCACTCAGCACCCTTCTTTAGCTTGCAACCTACGTGCTTGGCTACAGTGTCAACTTTGAAAGGCCTCTTGCCTATCAAAGCCGTATCGCGGGCCAAGCTGATGCCGCCTTGCAGTGGAGCTGGAACTTTTTTCGCCCCAGCTGCCTGGCCGATGAAAAGAAGTGCTCCCGTGGATTTGTTTGCTTTGCAGCCCTCAACCTTTGTTTGTTTCTGCTGGTATTGGCCATTGTTGCTCTCTATATGTACAAGCAGCAAACAAATAAAGGAGGATCTGCTACTGGTATTGGCAGGGTAAAAAGGAAGATGGCCGTTGTTGCTCTCTATACCTACCAGCAAACAAATAAAGGAGGATCTGTTGCCGCCACTGCACACTGCATGCAGCCTTCCAACATTTATATGTCCCGTGTGGTAAGCGTGTGTTGCCTTTGAACACTGTCTTTTGACCTTCATGCTCGTCTTTGAGAAGGAATTCCTGCAGTCATGGGATGGCCATCGGTTGGACCACCACTGAGATGATAGTTCCCACGTGGGAAAGGCTGCCCATGCTCATAGAAAGCCGAACGGAAAGTTGATCACCCCCCACATGCAAACACCTTTTTCGGTGTTCCTTTTTGTCGGGTGCTTTCTTGGACCTGCCGGACTGGCTGCAAACCTTGCGTGATCACACAGGGAAAACACAACCAGATTGGCAACACAAGAAGATTACTGGAGCAAACTTTGGGTATCTTTTGGAAACTTCCCAAAACAAGATCACTCCGTTTCAGGCACGAGGCGCCAGCGAGCCATGTGACATTTCTCAAGTCTGGCGCCTGGCCAACGTGTCATCGAACTTCCACTGATAGGCATACCTCTCCACTGCGGATTGGGATCGCCAACTGCCACTTACTTTGTCCATCTATCTTCGCCATGTGCATGTCTCGACACTCAAGAAAAATGGACAAATGGGTCAAACCTGCCTATATTTGACCAAAGCGAATCTTCAAGCCTTGATAGCAGACGGCCAAAGGAATTCGCAGTGAAACTTGACGACTCTTTACGAACTCCGATCGGCGGAACTCCGGGGCACTCGACAGTGTCAATACGATGGCCGAACTCATCCGTCTTGCTGCTGGTGGAGATGATCTCCTATCGAATGCCACATGAGTCACAATCAAAACCCGGTATTCAAATTGTCTACCCATAACCATGTAAAGAATCAAGAAGGCGGCCGCAGCAATTGATGGTTGGGATTGTCCCTTACTAACCTTCATCTACCCGGGTTTTGATTGTGGCTCACATGGGTGTCTCTTCTTTTCAGGGTGCCCTTGGGGCCGTTTCAAAACCCTTGTGCGGGATCCACCAGTGTGAGGCACGCACACAAAGACACTTGTGCAGCTCAGGGCCCCATCCACCGTTTGACAGTTTCGGGAATGCGCCAGGCCCAGCTGCAAATGAGTCACGACCAGCAAGTGTCGCAAACACCACGAGTGTGCGCCTCCGAACTGCCGCAAATTCATGAAGAACGGACTACCTGGAGTCTCCATGACCCTTTGAAAATGGGTCCACGACCCCATTATATATCTTGGGTAATGATCCCATTTAGGATCATTGAGACTCCAGGTAGTTCAAGCTAGTTCTGACACGGAGATGCTTCAAGTCAATTTCGCCCAGCCTGAGAATGCAGACCACCCGCTCCACCTTATGAAAGTTGAGCGCAATCCCGCAGAAATGACTTTCACCGATCCCTTTGCAGCATTGCGAGCTCTGCAAATGTCTGATGGCGGTTTCAGTTCATCGTGGATCGCTGACGCTCTCACCATTGGCAAAGTCTAAGACAGCGGGCTGAAAAATCCTTAAAGGTTTGACTATGGAGCCATCCTGCCATTGTGACAAAGAGCCCAATCCGTTGCCAGCAATCACAAACCACTCGCTGGAGTACCTCGTAAAGTATGCATAGTCACCCATTCCAGAGGTACTGCCTTCAAGCGCCGAAGCGCATGCTGAATGAGACGGCTTCCGTTGCAGAAAACTACTGACGTCGGGGCCGTGACAAGACTGCTCCGAAACCCATGTCGCACCCCAGGCTTATTGAGAGAAGGAAGCATTCATGCCTCTTGAAGGAAGCTCCTGGTAGCTTCTGCACCATATTCCTCTATCTGTGGTAGCGCGACTTGAAACTGGTAGACTCTTTCTGATTGCCATCCCAGCCAAGCGTTTTCCGGACAGGGGAACCACCCCAGCCGACCAAAAAGGAAGCTAAACGGGAGTTTCTGAAAAACTGGGATCCCCTTGTATGGCTTTGGAGGGAAAGCAACAGGAAGCCACCCAGGCCTTACACAGGCAACGCTTCCCGGTGACTCGGGCGTAACTCCTGCGGCGCACCCTCCGGCACAAGATCCTTCAGTAGCTTCTCTGCTACCTGGCAGAGCAACAAATGCAACTGCGAACAGCGCTGCAATGGACAGGAATGTCCTTCATTGGCGGACCACTCATATTAGGCTGAGCTCTACCACTCATAGGCTGTAGTGCTCCAGTGTTTGAGACGCAGGGGTTTCCTGTGGGCATTCAGCGAATGAGTTCTCCCACTGGAGATCCACCCCCAAATGCAAGCAGCATCAGTAAATTGGCATCTTCCAGAAGCGTGGCATGAATTGTCAACATGTCACCAAATGATCCAGGAATATGGGGGTCTTGTTCTAGGCGACCCCCAACCCTTAAAACCACCAAACTGGGGTACCCTCAATTTTTGACGAACCATTGATGTGGGTACCCTCAACTTTTGACCAACTGGGGTACCCTCACTTTTTTCAAGACAACACCATGATGTGTCTAAATCAACGTCTACTGGGCGCAGAAAAATGCCAATGAAATGCCAATGATGTGTCTAAATCAACGTCTGTCATGGGGTTGTCTTAATTTGATACTCAAAGCACAAAGCAGACCTAAGCCATTGTCGGCTTCACAGAACCCCAGGCTGTAAGTAGATTGCTCAGATTCCATGGCGACTGACAAGCCACAGGAATCCACATGCTAGGGCATCAGTACACATGCAGTTATACATGTCCATTCAAATGGGGTCTTTTCACAGCTTTCCAAGGGTCAATCCCACAAGAATCAAATTGAGAGCGTGACCATCTTGACGGAAATCTGTGGGAGAAATGATTCACAGAAACATAAGACGGTATCGGGAGTCGAAAAGGTTTGAAAACAGCTGGGAGGAGGTTGGGAAACTGTTGTGAATGCGTTTTTATTTTTGTGGTTTTGATAGCACCGTAACACTCGTTGCATGGGATCCTATAGTTTTCTGTTGGTAAATGTTCTGGTTTCGTGTATGCCAGGGTTGGCTGGGGGTGAAAACAACCCCTGATCTGACCCGGTGAGTGGTGAGCAAATCAGATGGGCATCGCTGAGAGACTCGGAGTGGGGAGGCTGCTACTGGTCGAGCCAGCTTTTGCAAGGCATTAATCGTTTTTGTGCCTTTTTTTTTTGGGGGGGGGGTTGCAGAGGCACTGTTTGAAGGGGCAGTATTCTCCCATTGGCGCGGCGCATGAACGCATTTTTTCGGCCAGCCTGCCAGCAGGACTTGCTCCAACACGTGGCCAGTCTTTTGCTGAACAATGACCATGCAAGCTTCCAAGCAGCTCTCCCTCTCTCTCTCTCTCCCTTTTTTTTTTATCTCTCTCTCTCTTTCTCACGAGGCTTGTCTGCCACTAACTGCCCCCTATCATTTACTGCCAATTCTAGCAACATGTTGACAATCCTAGCCTGAGACACACATTCCCAATGTGTGCTTGACTTCAAACTGCTGTATATCAGGGGCTCCACATGTCATCATGGTAGGTCAAATGTTGATTTGAACGTTGCAAGTCCAGAAGCTCAGGAAGTGCGTATATGGTTGAGATGTGGCACATCCGAACAGCCCAAATCACAACCCACCGGCTGACTGGTGGACCCGTGACTCCGACTCAAATGGCCAGCGCTTGGCAAGGCGCTTGGCGCTTAACGCCAACTGAGCGGTGGAACGATTTTTCCGCTCTGAGTGCGGATGCCCCGCATCATGCGCAGCGGAGCCGCTTGCCTTAGTACACGCCAAGGGAGAGCCGGGACTGGGACTCGGTACAGCTGGCTGTGATTGATTTTTCAAGCAGCACACGTCAGCCCGTTGCCAAAGATCGGCACAGGCTAACTGCGATTGGAGGAAATGCCAAAATGCCAAGATGCAGGTCTTAAAGTAGTGCACTTCGATAGCTCACCACACCCTGAAACGATAGAAGCACCGCGAAAGTTGTCAGGTAGAAGTGGACAAAAACCCGCAGGCGTTCCTTTAGACAAGCAAAGTACCCACGTATGTTCGTTGCCACTTGATATTCCTCGCTGCTTCAGTGAGAGACTTCACTAACGTTCATCACAGACCTGCGATTCGCAAGCGCAGCCAAGACGCACAGTCCAAATGAAGGTTTGGCCTGAGTGGGCGAAAGCCAATAGCCTCGACGGCTTGACGTGGTCGCAAAGTTGAACGTTTACCGGGTCCATCTTTTGAGAATTCTGCAGAATCAAGAAGGCACGAACGCTGTATGGCTGCACTCGGAAGCGCAACCTGAGCAAGGGTGTGACTTCAGCTTTTGAGGAATTCCGTCATTTTCGCATTCCATTTGATGTGAAGCCAAACATCGGCGCGAACGTCTGCTCCGACTCCGCCACCCAGCTAGCTGGCTACTTGGCCGGATGCGAAAGCGCGTTCCCAGATCAACACTCCAGCACAACTTGTTCTGCTTCCAGGGCGCCGCTATGAGATCTTCAGGTTGGGAGAAAGAAGTTCAACAAGCTTGAAAGATGTTGTGATTGTGCAAACAACGAGGATACATGTATGTATATATGCATATAGGAGAAACCATGGCGTGTAGGCAGTGGCACACTCCATATAAGGGATAATACATTGGGATTGATTGCAAGCTTGGTTCTGCTCGAACAATTCGTCATCTTTGTCCATCCTTCTTAGCATGACTGGGGCATTTTCATATTCTTGCCGCCCAAATACTATACACGCAACCATTTTGGAGGCAAGCCATCATGCGACCCAGTTGTTCTCAAAATTGATGCCTAACCTCCAACAAGGATTGTCAAAACCCTCTGCCTGTGAGGTTCCAGCAAACGTCCTGAACCTCGCCTTATGACCACTTGACAGAAGCAAGCAATAATTCACGGAAAACAAGCGAAACTGAGCTTCGGGCTTCAGGGAAACGCATCAAGTGACAAGTCACTCTGTTGATTGAACAAATATGATTCTATGTCGTTCTTTTCGCCTGCGAGCGGCCCAAGCTATCCGAACTTTCCATCCATACAAGTTGCCTTGACTTGGGTCCACGAAAGTGACATCCTCACAATTCCCCTCCAAATAGTGGTTTAGGAAACCACCCGAGAAGTAGTTTTAAGACCCCTCAAAAAACCAGTTTCGCCTGACTTCCCACACACGCCTGGAGGGAAGGAGGCCATATCTCCCGGCAGCAACGCCACCGCGCCGCCGCCCTGCAAATCGGAGTGACACGAATCACATACATTTTGCGGCATCCCTGTTTGAGTCTCTTTGATTGGGATGTATGCGTAAATCCTGGATGCAGCAACTGTGACAATTGCCGCCAAGCCTAACCGGAATGTATCTGAATGGGTCTTGGTAATGTTGACATGAGGATGAGGATCCTTCGATTTACAACACACCTTCGCCTGTTTGGGGGTTTACCCTATTCCACTCCAATACATATCCCTTATACGAACGCTACTTGTGGTAGCTCACATGCAAAGACGCTTGCGCGCACAAAGGCTGCTGGAAGACTCCAGCATGAGCAAAGCATGGTACCGGGAAGAACATGGAAAGAACAAGTAATCCATGAACATTCCAGCCAAAAACATATTATGGACACGAGGAGCGTTTCGATTCCGCTCGCTGCCGGGCCGGACTCAAGATTTGAACCCCGATGGCAATAAGCAGCGCAAGTGTGCAATAGCACCTGCAGCGGCAACTGTAGGTTGAGATTCGCGCATGAAAATCTGAACATGTCCGGCCTGCACGGGGAAGACAAGCTGTGACAAGCAGCCAAGTCAGCAAGCACAAGCAAAACAAGTGGGAGACAAGTGGCAAACACGAGACAAGTGGGAGACAAGCTGGGAGACAAGTGGGGAGACAGGGAATACCCGGGCCACGCCATCTGAGCAGTGTTTTTTTGGGTGGTTCCGGGCCTATACACTACTTGCGGATGCCTACGCGGATGCCTATGCGGGCAAATGTTGAGTTCAAGTGTCGACGTGCACTGTGGCAGCTCCAGCTGGAAAATCGCAACTTTTCAGTACAATTGCAGTTTTGGCAGCTCCGGCTCTAAGATCAGAAATGCAGTACAAGTGAGAATCCCACATCTGTCCAAAGATCTGGCTGCTAGAAAAGGTCTACGTACCCAAAATGCCTTGAAAGCCTACGCGAATGCCTACGCGGGGCCTACGCGCAGCCTACGCGAAGACTGCAGAACAAACAGAAGGAAGGCAAAAGAAGCAAATTTATTTATACGTGGCAAACAGCACTGAGTCATCATTTGTTTAACAAACGCCTACGCGAAAACCCTACGCGAGGGGTGACACAACAGCCTACGCGCTGAAGCCTACGCGAGCCTACGCCCCCAACCAGGATTGCCTCCGCAAAGTACATGCAGTTCCCTTTTTGTGTAAACCCTTTCATTTGATTAAAAACCGCTGCTCATCTGGTGACTGGGAGGACATTTTTGCAAAAGAGAACCCCAGCAGTTAATACTGATTAAGCAGAAGAAACCTTCAGGGGGCTGACCCATTTGGAGAAACCAGCAAACAAACCGGGACAGTGCCCACTGAACATCTGAATGCTTCTTTCCATGAAGCCCATCACATTTTGCACCGCTAGGTCGGTAGAATAGCCCAGTCTGTGGCCTCAGGGCTGACCGTGGCTGAGCCTTCCAGCACGAAGACCTCAGCGATGCGGCAAAAATTGCTCCGAATGCTTTCGCTTTGCTTGCAAGTCGGACACGTCTGCGTTCCGGCAAGTTTGCAGACGTTTGGGTGAGTCTCAGTAAAGATCATGTCGCGTGGTCGATTTGTGACAAGGTCTGCTTTGCCCACATGGCTCACCTGTGAATGCAGCGCTGTGGCTGAAATGACCCCTTTCCATAGAGTCTGGAGCCCGGATCCCCAAAAGCTCCCTGGCCTACCCGGAACCCTCTGGGATTCACGGTGCCCCATGTGGCTGTTGCCTTAAAAAAAAAAAGAACGCAAAAATCTTTCATGCTTCAGCAGCAAATGCATTTCAGCCAGTGCTCAATCGACTGGAGGCCGCTGTTTCACTTCAAGAGAGGCCCGCGCTTCCACACAGCCCGTCTCTGGCATCGAGCCCGATGCAATTTC